CTGCTTCTCCTAAGTACATTCTGAAGCTGTCCTCCTTTCTCCGTGTCCACTGCTGCCACCTGAGCCAACACCCCCCCCCCCCCCGGGCATCTTGGGCGTGGGCTGTGGCCTCACCTCCAAACATATCTCTGCAGGTGCTCTTCCCACTTCCAACTCAGTTATTTTTCACACAGCAGCAACTTCCTTTCTTTACTCTCTTTATTTCCTTCCTAGCAGGTATTATAGTCTGTCATGATTTTGTTTATTTGTTTACTTACTTACTGATTTTTTTCCCTCTAGAATCCAAGCATCATAAGGGCAATCTCCTTTTTGTATTGTTTTGTATCACTAACGGGTCCTTTGCGTAGTGGGTACCATGTGAATGAATGAATGAATGCACAAATGAATGGACGAATGAACAAAAGCAGGTAGTGTTGGAAACATCTTCAGAAATGGCGTATGAAAAACGTCAAGAGGCATCATTTCAGGTTCCCCAAGAACACGTACCCAGCTCCCCGCTCCATTCTGCTATGGTTCCCGCAGCACAGCCCCGAGCATCACCGTGACTGTGCGTGTCCTCGTTACTGCAGGAGAGGCTTTACCCCTCGGAAGTGGCGAGAAGGGGATTGAAACCTGGATACTATTGTCCTAGGTCTGTGGTCCCCACTCCCTGGGCCTTGGTCTGCTGCTGGCCTGTTAGGGATGAGGTTGCAGAGCTCCGCCAGCCCCCACCACCCAAGCCCCCATTGTGGAAAGATTGTCCTCCCTGAAACTTGGGGGGAGTGCAAAACAGGAGGGAGTGATGGGAAGTGAGCGAAGCCTCATCTGTATTTACAGCTGCTCCCCATCGCTCACATCACTGCCTGAGCTCCCCTCCTTTCCCCCCAATCCTTGCAAAAATTGTCTTCCGTGAAACCCAGCCCCTGGTGTCAAAAAGGTTGGGGAGCGCTGTCCTAGATCACTGTTCCCCAACCTTTGTTGACCTAGCCTCCCAGTAAGCAGCATATGTCACCTTGTGATCAGTACACATGTACGTACATGTATACACACAGACAAATTTCACAATACATGACTTTACTTCAGATATTTTCTATTCTAGTCTATTCTGTTTGGTTCTGTTCCATTAAAACAATGCTGATTGTGATCAGTTTCATTGATTTCATGAGCCATTAATGGATCATGGCCCACAGTTTGAATAACAATGTTTAAAATGTGGTGTTTTTCCTCAGGAACTGGAAACCTAGCGAAGGGACCCAAACATGGGGACACGGGCAGGGTGGACGGATAAGCGCCGTGGGAATGGGGCGCAGGTCGTGAGCCTGCAGAGACGGTCCCTGCGTCTAGACCTCTCGGGGAGGATAGGGGAAAAATGTTATCTTTAGATGTTAGATTTAATTTAGTTATCTTTTTTCTTTTTTTTAACCATTTTTTACTAATCAGTTCTTCTTACAATATAGGATTGTGTTTGTTTTTCCTCTTGTGAATAGCTTTTTATTGCGAACAGGAGTTGTTTATTATTCTCCAGGTGATTTTTAATTTAAAAACAAACAAACTTGGTCTCATCCATACCTTTCTATTCATCTTCCCACTCAGTTTTTCACATTAGTTTTCTCTGGAGATGTGCGGGTGTAAATATACATACATACACACACGTAAAAATGTGTTTATAAATGAAGATCTTTCTTCCCTTATTATTTTGAATTCCTCACTACTTAACGGTGCATGGCCCTCACAGTCATTTCCATTATAAAGAAAAAATAAAGCACTCCATGTTCTTGTCTTCAGATGAGATGCAGATATTTCTAGGAAAGCTCAGACTCTCAAACTTATTACACAACTATAATCAAATTACATCCTTCTTTCCTCTGTTAGGGGCATTAAATGTAATTTTTCCTGGCCTAAGAAACTTGAGCATTCTATCCACTGAATATTTCCATTTTAAAAGTTTTCAAGTAAACCATTTTGCTATTCTGGGCTGTTACATGAAACCAAGGCGATTACTTGAACACGAGGTGCAGAGCCAGCCTGTCTCATGCTCCTTCCCCGCCCGGCCTGACACTGCGCTGTCGGGTTGCTGGAGGCATCCAGTGGACCCCAGGGGTGTGTCCTGAAGATGTGTTTTGTTCTTTTCCCCTCTTTGGAATGCCAACACTTCTAAGTATGAGATATATTGAAATTAGTATCTGATCTGTAAAAAAAACTCAGCAATTCCAGACCTCTCGAATTGTAAAATGCAGAATTGATCGAAATAGGTGCCATTGATAAGTATTGGGAGATGGCTGCAGGTGCTGACCGTGTTTGGAATTATACCGCAGGTTCATGTTCATGATGGGGAGACCTGGGCAGAAAACTTAGAACAGCTAGTGTGTGAGTCAGTGTTAGTGGCTTTCTGAGCAAGAGAGAAGCCCCAGTAGCCAGTGCATTGGGTGTGGGGTGCATGGAAGGCAGCGAGAGTGACAAAAATAAAAGGCGGACCTTAGAATGCAGAGAAGCTCTTCCAAGTGAATTTGTTGAGCCAGGACTGACAGCGCCTACGAGGAGTCTATGGTTTTATCCACATTTGCTGCGTCATTTTGCTGGAGGCCCCGCCCGCTGCCACGGTTGGATTTGAAAATCAATCAGACTCGATTTAATGAAAGACATCGTACAGCCAGCTTTGTTCTCTTTCTTCTGTCAAAAAGAGGCCTTCATGATGCCATCTGCCATTAATTGAGCACCCGTAGCTATGGCCACTGCGTTAGATGTTTTATATCATAGCATCTCTGGGCCTCGCACCCACCTCTACGTGGGTCTGTCTTACCAACGAGGACGCCGTGATCTGTGCGGGGCCACTCAGGAAGCATCCATTTGGCTCCAGACCGGCCATTCTCACTGTTGCTCGGCCTGCCTCTCTGCACCTGCACCAGTTACCTGGTGAAATGTCCTGCACAATCCCAGGGCTTTATTCTGTTTAGTTCTTAATAGCATAATAAACAAGATACTTAGGTCAGGATTAGGAAAAACCACATTCTTGGCTTATTGTTATTTCCCTGAGAGGGCCAGTTGTCTTTCATTTCTTTGTCATGTTTTGTCCATGTGAGATTAAACGGTCCCACCCTGAAAGCTAACTCGAAGAAAACAAAAGTCCTGAGGTTCCCAGAACTGAGATAATCTCATTGCCAGAAATGTTTGGGTTGCATGTGGGCCATGGCTCTCTGTGTGGTTGGTTTGGGGCCTTGTGTGCAAGGAATCAGAAAGGCACCCCATCCCCCTGCCCCCGGGCTCCAGACCCCTACTGTTTACAGGCTTTGGTGGGTTTTTTTTTTTTTTTTACACTATCCAAATTTGGAGGTTACTGATCTACCCTTGCCTCCCCCATACCTATCCACTCCTTAGCTTTTGGCTTTTCTTCTAAAAAGTGTCCTGCACAGCTCTTTCGCGAAGGAAAGATTATTGGGTGCCTGCCTGCTTTACTAGGGAAGTCTCATCAGCCCCTCTGAACTATTCTGGGCTTGCAGAATGTGTGCGTGAAAGGAAAGACCATATAGGAATGTTGAGTTTTCCAAAGTTGAAATCTTTCAGGTCTTTAAACATCCTGTTGATTAAACTGAGAACTTTGAAGTTTAGTGTAGATGGGTCAGCCTGACTCAGGCCCGTGTCTGGGGTCAGGCCTGTGCTTGGGGGTGGGTGACTGGAGTGGTCAGAGGTTCCAGCCCCTGACCATGGCTTTGAGCAATTCCCCTATTCTCAATGCACATTAGAAGTAGTTAATTCCAGTTGCACTGCTTGCTGATGTTGTTGATAGTAACGTATTTTAATGAGCTCTGTGCATAAGGCTTGTAAGGAAACTATTTGGTGAACTGATGCCTGAAATACAAATTTTTTAAAACGTCTTAAAGATTTTAGGAGTAACTTATTTTTAGTGCTCCTTCCGTGGGATTTTCCTAGAACACCCCTCCCCACCCACCCTGTTAGTTAAACAGTTTTTTTGTTTGCTTTCTACATGTTGGAGGACAGCACCGGTCTTCCTGTAGAACAATAGTTCTGAAATTGAGGCAGGCTGTTGGTGTTGGCTTGGAAGCATGGGGTGGGCAGGGGTTTATGTAATTTAGCTTCTTTTCTCTCCAAATCAGTAAATATTTACAAATGATCTTATCAAACAGTTTGGGTACATTTGGTCACTTGAAAGCGTGCAGCCAGAGCAGCGACTGCCCAACTGTCTGCTCCAGTTCCAGGGGGCCTCAGAGGAAGAACTTGTATTTTTTAAAATATGCTATCCAGAGACCAAGTGCCTCCAACTGAAAGTGGGCCTCAGAGGAAGTCTCCCTCTCACTCTGGAACAGTTTTAGAAAATTTGCATTTTAAAGTTTGACTTCTAAAGATTCAACTCTTAAGAGTTGGGGCAGATTGCTGGGAACTGAGGAATCCAAAAAAATAAATATTGGATTCTGGCTTTTGCTATCTGCTCTTTTGTGTCTTGGAGAAGGTAATTAAAGAATTCCATTCTGAGCGTAAATGTCATTCTTTTGTGAGTAAGTTGGAAAAAAGTGGATTATTTGTCTGTTTTTGTGAAATGGTACCAATATAATATGGTTTTAAAACATAACTCTCAATTTTTAGAGCAGAGATGGTGTTTTGAGGGTGTCTTAGCCCTCTTTTTCTTTCAATATTTGGAATCTGACAAAGTTACAGCTCATGTTTAGAAGAACATACATATGTTCTTCAGAGTTGACACTGAAAAATAATAAAGGATTCTCATTCTTTTGGTAGTTAGGACATGAAAATTACATTATTGTATCAGCATAATGTGGTGATAACATGTTCATTTTGTCTTCCAAACTTAATATGAGTAAGACTGAAGCGCATTGGTTGGTGTTCTGTTGTCAGAGTACAATATTGAAGGCTGGCAAACAGTCAACACATAAACAAGAAACTTTTAAAAATAAATAACTGTGCATGGCTGTATATCTACTTACTGCAGACTACTTCATACTTCTGTATTAATACTTCTGTATTTTACTTTTTTTTTTTTTTTTTTGCAGAGTATTGGAAAAGGGTCGTTGTGGTGCATAGACCCAGAGTATAGACAAAATCTAATTCAGGCTTTGAAAAAGACACCTTATCACCCGCACCCACACGCGTCCAGTACACCGCCCATCTCTCCTCAGGCATATCAAAGGTAAGCAATTCAGACTTTCTTTTTGCGGGGAGGGGGGGGTCTACTGAAATTGCAGCATTTTGGCAGAGACAGGCACTGAAATTACTTTAGTAGGCTATGTGAGATTTTAAAAATAACTTTAGGTAAATGAGAAAGACATTAAGTATTATTAGGAGGCATATCCATTGTGGTATTTCCTGCAAACCTTACCGCTTCTGCTGCTGCAGAGGAATGTTGCCAGAAGGCTTCATGGTGGATGAAATAACGTCTTCCTGGGTAGAAACACTTACAAAGAGAAGTTTACAGCTTTCACGTCTGAATGTGGCACGTTTTGTTGGGATGAAAGTACAGGAATGAGTCAAGCAAGCGATTCCGTCTTCCCCTCGTCTGGCTGGTCTCTCCAGATATTCGGGGGAGGCTCACTCCGTTGTTGTCGTTCCTGGTCTCCATGTAGACGGGGCTCCCGAGTGATCATTTTGTTGTGGTTACTTGGTGTTTGCTTCTTCAAGGAGAACAGCAGACAACAATGGAGGCCTTTTTTCCCTCCTCACATGCCCATTTGTTTGGAGACAGTCAGGTCATGGGTACCATTTTTACAAATATATAATTTGGAGGGGAGAGTAAGTAGCCCGTTACTTTTTTAAAAAAATCATATTAATGTTAAATTACAAAAAAGAGTCATGTAATACAGAACCAAATTTTAAAATAGATTTTATCTATACACAGTGCTTGGGTTTGAAATGCATCCCTCAGCCCTACAAAAAAATTTTTTTAAAAATGTATAGAAATGTTTCTATTGTAACCACCCAGTTAAGAGACATTGGACTACCAGTTGATGTTAATTAGGAATGGCATGATGTCATAGATTTCAGTAGTTTTACAGTCCACTTCTTTGCAGATTCTTTTCCTAGTCTCTGTTTGTTCTGCAGGAGGGAGCACAAAGTGATCCTCTGAAATAGCCTTAATGAAGTTCTTGTGCATCTCAGTTGAGAAGCATTCCATCACAGGCCCTAGACAATCAGTCTTCAGCAAAAGACAGGGAGGAACAGCTGGGCTCTCTGAGAAGACTGCTGTATGTCTGCCTTTGCTAGGCGATTAGCGTGATGGTAGCCATAGCAACTGGAGCGTCTCCATAGTAACGCGTAGCTGAGACAGGTGCAGTTGCATCACAAGGCTGTTTGTTGCCTGGCAAAAGGACAGGCCATTAGTACTTAGATATACGCTGTTGCCTTAGAAACAAATAACCCTACATAGCAACTACAGTTGGTTTGAAAGGTTTGGGGGGAAAAAAAGAGGTTGTAGCAGCTTTTGTCTGTGTTCATAAAAATCAGTGGAAGCATACTTTATTTGAAATGACAACTTGAGGTCATATAGCTGTAGGAGATAAAATGGGATTTTCCAAAGCAGCCCAGCCAGCACTGTAGAAATGTCCAGAAGGACAGAGCCATATGCTTGGTTTTCTCCTTGTGGTTGTAGCCACTCCTGAAATGGAAGAGAACTAGGATTGCAGCGGAGAATTGCCGATGTGCAAGGTTGGTGGGGAAGGGCATGACACTAATTATTAAAATATGTCCCAGAGTCTCATGTTCCTCTGTCATTTCACGTCCCCCACCCTCCAAACTAAGCAGAATACCCTTTTCTTGCCTCTTTGGTTTGTACCTCGGAAGTATTTTGTCTCTCGTTGCTTCCAGGAAGTTAAGAACATAAGTATAATATTATTCACTGGTTCATTTGAAACAGTGTTTTGTTGCCAAATGTGACCCCCAGGGAAGCACAGTAATTATTTAATAATTTGAAGGATTATAGTAGAGCTCTGGGAGTTGCAACAGGAATGCATACTCAGAGAGGCATTCTCAGCTGGCCTTAGCTTAATGACTTCATTTCATTTTTAATACAGGCATAAAAATGCAGACAAACTGGAGATTTTGTAATGACAATAATTTCCAAACGAATACTTTAGATCCCGTTCTGTCACCTCTAGCTCCTTTCCTCCCTGTTGACCGAGGGGGAAAAAGTGTCTGCATCTCCTCATGTGGGTGCTTAGATTTCACCTCCATAAAGGTCACAGGATGTGGAGTGAGATGAGAGCTGAAAGTCTAGCCTGCCTCTTCCATGCCTTAACTCCGTGAGCACAAGTCACTTTCTCTTCCCTGGGGACTGCCATCCATTCATCTAAAAGCTTAACGTGTTAGGGATCCTCTAGTGTGTGAAACCGTACTGAAGCCACGAAATACTGGATGATTGTACAGTATTTCTATGGCTTACAAGTATGTGGTGTTTGGCTCAGTTCTAAGCCATCGGGCCACTTGTCAACGTGACTTAGGGAAGATGGAAGTGGAGCAAACTGAGTCATTAAACAGGGACCAAAAAATGCCGAATTGACATGATCTGGCTGGGTCCGCTGTGATGCCAGGAATTACCTGTCAGCCCCTTGCGGGATTGCTGTGAGGGGCACCTGGGAAGTGCTTGGCTTTCAGGGAGCTGGTACTTAGCATGCAGAAGAAGATGGTCATTATGCTAGATGGGCGGTTATTGCTAGTACTTGCAGGTGTGCTTGGCAAGGAGCGCTCTGAACTGAGCTGCAGGTGGCTGGAAACTGCAGGAAAAATGAAGCATTTGAAAACACTGTCCAAACCTTGTGCACATCCAAATATAATGCTAAATATTGTGATATTGAGACTCATGCCTCTGTTTTCCAGTACGCCCTTTTGGATGTTTGTTGAGATGTTCCTCCACACCTGCTTCCCCCCCCCCATACTGAATTTGTGAGTTGTTTTTAATTGAAATGCAAAGCTCAGTGACATTAGCCCTTCTATTCATTTGCTAGAACATCCAGAACAAAGTACTTCACTTAAACAGCAGAAATTTATTGTCTCGCAGTTCTGGAAACTGGAAGTCCAAGATCAGGGTGCCGGCAGGCTTGGTTCTTTCTGAAGGCTGTGAGGGAGCATCTGTTCCCCCCCTGACGCCTAGCCTCTGGTGCTTTGCTGGCATTTTGCTGGAATGCTTTGGCTCACCTTATCTCTGCCATCCTCTTCACCCTGCGTTCTCTCTGGGTGGTGTCTGTGTCCAAATTTCCCTTTTTTTAAAAGGACACACTAGTCATATTGGCTTAGAGGCTCACCTTTTGCCATAGTGACCTCATCTTAACTAATTACATCTCCAGTGACCCTAGTCCCAAATAAGGTCACATTCTGATGTACTGGGGGCTAGGACTGCAACGTAAGAATTTTGGAGAAACCCAGTTCAACCCACAGCAGCCCTTTTCTTAAGTGAGGCATTCTGCTGATAAAAAATATGTAGAAGCAGAAAGTAAGGAAATATTTAAAAAAACAAAATAATGGGTGTGTGTCAGAGGGGACACAGGAACCAACCTGAAATTGCCCCCATTAGCCAAAGCTGGGACGATTCAAGCCACAAAATAAATAACATAGTGTTGGATTATAACCCCACATATAAAATAAATGCCTATGTGTCCATACTGATATAAATAAGTGATTGAATACGTAAATAAATAAATGAGAGATGAGACAAATTTCCCATACAGAGAATTCCAAATAATTTTTGTAGATATTTCTCCACCCAGAGAGGTGGAGCAGAACTGCCCACTCCCTGAGCAACTGCACGTAATGGCTTACTTCCAAAGAGTAGCGTGTGGAAAGGGTGGAAAGGGAAGCTTATAGTGGAAAAACATGGTACGTACTACCCCAGCCCCCCAGGTGATGAAAGCTAACATCCTCAGTGATGTGACGTTGATAACAGTTACCTTTCATATGAAGTCATGGACTTGGCACTTCACTGCTGTTGTGTCTTCCTCCCCAAAACCTATAACCACAATCCGGTGATGGGAAAAACATCAAACAATGATTTTGCCCTTCAGGGAAGACATTCTGTAAAATACCTGCTCAGCAGTCCTCAAAGCTGTCAAGGTTATCAAAGACAAGGACAGTCTGAGAATCTGTTACAGACTGGAGGACGAATCTAAGGAGACATGATGACTAAACACGTCATGTGATACTGTGGATGGGATCTTGGAACAGAAAAAGGATATTAGGGGAAAACTTGTGAGATATGAATAAACTACGCAGTTCAGCTAATGGTTAGGTGCCGGTGTTGGCTCCTGAGTTGTGACAAGTGTCCCACGGTAATGTAAGGTATTGACATTAGGGGGAATGTAGTGAGGGGTGTATGGGAGCTCTCTGGGCCATCTTTGTAAATTTGCTGTTTATAAAAAAAGCAGTCCCCCAAACACAGACTTGTCGAGTTTATCAATTTTAAACATCCAAATCGTTTTTGGTGGATTGAAAACTAAAGTCACTGCGTCACTGAGAGTTGCCTGGCCTCCCATAGCGTCTCTGTCATCGTTACAATATGTTTGAAGAGCTGACTGTCGGGGCTCTTGCTTCTAGCTCTTCTCTGTAGGATCTGCTGAGCCACAGGAGGGGTATCACTGTAATTTGTATACCGTAGTTTTTGGAACTTTATTTTTGTGAAATGGCACTCGACTGTGCTTTGTAGGGTACCCATGGTTGAGCTCAGGGAACTCCGGCAGAACAAGCCAAACAAACTTGCTTAAGGAATCCAAACCTTTGCCAGGGAGGCTTTGGCATGCGGCCTTCAGAATGGAGATCTGGAAAGAGGAAAGAGGGATGGTATGTTTGGAATTTTTGTCCCCCATACCCCTTTAGAAAAGTCCAATTTAGCTGTGCTAATGGTTATGCTCCATATGCCCCTCCTTCCTGGACATGGCAGTTTTCATTAAAGAATATGCATATTTTTAATGCTTTTGATAGATACTGCCAAACTGTCTCATGATTTCACACTCTGTCGCAATCTACACTCCTACCAATTTTCTAGGAAATTCCCACTTTCTAACTGTTCTCAATGTCTGATGGTTAAATGAAAAGACATTTCCCCAGTGGGTGACCTCGACTTTTGTGATTTTGGTCCTTTATGGTGCAGGCATTTAAACTTTACAATCCCACATTAATGTAGTATAAATAGTAGATACTCCCATAACA